AGAGGTAGCCCTTCCCCACCAACTGGTGCCATCCTAAGCTAGCAACAATTGGTGTGACGGTCTGTCCTGGCCCTTGAACACCAACTGGTGCCATCCTAAGCTAGCAACAATTGGCTGCGAAGAAGGTCTTGTCCTGGGTTGCGTTCAAAGGAAAGTTTATGATGTGGACGGGAGTAGATCCTGGACTTCACTGCCAAACCGTGCTCATTGTCAACGCCTCTAGTCGCTACACCAGCTCCATCTCCACTCCCCACCCCTCTCTTCCTCCCAGAGGAATATCGTTTCAACATGCGAATCCCTCTACAGTGCACCTCGAAAGTTCCAACTCTCCCAAACTATTTATTTCCGCATAAAATGATTTAACAACAAATAACTAGTAACTGAACGGAGTAACAAATCAATGAAATACATGGCAGGTAAAATACGCGATAAACAATGTCAAGACACAAAAAGTCAAATATCCTAAAATCTTCATCAAGCAACTAGTTTCAGGAAAAATTCACGACAAAAATGTCCGGACAAAATGTCCAGACAAAAATAACACTGTGCTTTGGTTCTTATCAACGACTATCAAATAGACGTATCATTGATATTACTGGCCCTTCTCCTCTTTCAACTCGACTTCTTACACATTTTCGGTTTCTATCGATGACCATGTTTACAACCCCCATAACGACAGTACTGCGAGTTCATTACAAAGCAACCCCTCACCTCCCACCCCTCCCGCGCTCGACCAACAATGTTCTCGGTTCGAACTTTTCTCATAGCATAACCTTCATCTCAAGTCTAGAACGCTGCCTCGCACAGTCGACGCCGAGAGATGGCATTTGCATTTTCGCTACTTCCCTTTGTCGTGCTAAGCCAAGTAATACCAGCTAAAGTTAGTGAAACTACTGGTAAACTCTTATAAAGCACGACAAGTAGCGAAAGTGCAATATGCCCCCCAAGCCAAACTGCCGAACTTTTCCAATACAGCAGTTTTGTACCTCACACAATAGTCGATTATCGCCAACATGTCAAGACGCGGAATTATCGACACGATATCTTGTAATATTGCTCCACCCTCCCCATCCGCCCCCACATCAACACGTTCCAAAATAGTCTCCTACTGTAGAATGTTCCCCCTGACTCATTTTTCCAAGCTAAGCCCTCACCTGTTAACTCGCACCCCTTCCCTTCCCACTAGCACACCCCCTCTCAAGTAATCACAAACCGATCACTTCGTATTCAATGTAGACCGCAGAACCCGTCACCATTGGTATATTCCGAGTTCACTCAAAGCTCGGACTCTTCTCTGTGTCATATGTAAGGATACTCATTCGCCGAACCTTAATATGCCTCAAAAACCACATATTCCCGTTAAAACTAAGTCAAAACATAATTTAGTCATCAGCGAACAATTTGGTGGTATTACGCTATCCCTAAGCATTACGCTCTACGCCTGGTGGTGCGAATGTGTAACGTCTGATTTTGAGTGATTTTTGTCCCATGCAAGCAATGTGTTGAGGTTTGAAAGGCCGCGTACGCACGAATCTTTTGTGGAGATGTTCATTCAGTAATCTACGTGCTTACAAATTCATCTAACTATTGATATTGCTAACCAATTGTTTTAATATTTTGTAGTCATCCTTACATCCGAGTCCTCTGCAGCTTCCTCTCCGCTCCATCAACTAAGCGGTGGCACTGGTTTTGTGTTGGTTCTCTACCGACTCAGCCTTCACGACCCCTCCCAGCGGTCAAGTACCACCCTACACGATGCGGTTCTGCAAAGCATGCTGTACACTGTTGCGACACTCCATTCCTTTCCGTGATTTGCGAAGCATTTTGAGTCAGAAACTCAACTTGAGTCACAAAGCTCCCTGAAGTGATCTTATCTCCTGAATAGTATTGATTATCATACGCCGGGCCGTGTTCGGCGCCGAAATATGACCGATTTCTCCGCTACAGGTGCTGTTGAAAAAAAAATACAAACGTAAAAGTGTTCGTACCGTTCCACCTGTGCTTAAGGCACGCGTTTTCGAGCTGAATATCCGCACGCTTGAAGTGAAAGTACTTCTGAAGACAAGATTCGAGCGTTTTTGGTGTTTTCTTATGCTTGTGGCAGCGCCTATACTGCGCAGCACAGGCTGCAGGCGTTTTCTCGTCAAAGAGAGGAGTATTCAGGAGGTCGAATTCACCCAGGAATAAGTTTTTGACCAAACTGAGATGGCGCCAAGCTTCGCATCTATCGAATAGGTAACAAGGGTCGCAAGGAGAAGATAGTGACCAACTCAATATCGATCTACCATGTCGGATCGTTGACCTACTTGCTCTACTGGTCGCTAGCTGGGATTAATGACAAAAACTGAGTGAAAGCTTTTATCGGAAGCAAAGCATGGGGAGAAACCCAAGTGCTTCTGGGAAGCGAGACCGTAACCAGTAGAACACCGCTGCACCGGTATCCCACGGCGCAGCAGTGCTCGCATGCCAACACTGCGTTTATTGCAAACTTTGACCACCCGGAATTCGTCTGGGAGATCCCCAAAGCACTTTTGACCTGCATATTTGCAATCAGTATTCGACTGCAGGACCCAGACCCCGCCCACTATTCGAAGCTAGCGGGAGAAACTGGAAGCACTTTCTCTTAGTTTATCGCCGAAATAAGTCGCGAAGTATGCACTGAAGATGATAGATAACTGTTATATGTGTCACAGATTTCTATTCTCAATTCTGCCTTCCAAATCTGCTGAACGATTCTCCGAGAAGATTCAGCAGACTGGAAGTTAAAGGTGATTTCCTTCACGCCAGCACTTCCATGCAAGCTATCTCTTGTCTGCCTCGTATATTCTGCGCAAAAATAGCTGATCAGTAACTGACGAATTTAGTGGTCTTGAAGTCGTTTCCAGCCGAACTAGCTTTGCAGTTTGCCTTCAGAACGAAGCTAAAAAACCCTCGAATATCCCTACGTCACCGATGCGTACTTGGACTTATCTGTAGAGTTTGTGAGCTCCTCTTACCATCAGGTGGCCATAGCGACCCGTGGCTCCTAAGCCATTGCCTTCATGTGCTACCAATCACAATAATTAATCATTGGTATGTCTCACTGTTCAACACCACCGCGCGTGCGGATTACCAGCCGCGGAGCCCTGGCTTCGTTTAACGGAGACAATGCAGTCGCTCCACACAATGAAGAGCGATGTGAGCTGTGAGCCCCGTTGCACCCTTCTCCGCAAAACCATAATTTTTCTCCCATGAGCGGGTGTCTGGACGGGAAAGTTTGTTGGCTGGCGCGTGCTTCATTGGGACACGCGTAGGATGCGTTTCGTTGGAATCGTTCCATATGAGCTAATAGTCATCCTGCCTTATGCTGGACATAGACGTTATCACAATTGTCCTACACCGGCAGTTCCCCTTCAAGAAGCGCGGCTGGCGCCGCGTCTAAACGAGATACGCAGCCACGCCCTCGCCATATCTTGGATATGAGAGGTAGCCCTTCCCCACCAACTGGTGCCATCCTAAGCTAGCAACAATTGGTGTGACGGTCTGTCCTGGCCCTTGAACACCAACTGGTGCCATCCTAAGCTAGCAACAATTGGCTGCGAAGAAGGTCTTGTCCTGGGTTGCGTTCAAAGGAAAGTTTATGATGTGGACGGGAGTAGATCCTGGACTTCACTGCCAAACCGTGCTCATTGTCAACGCCTCTAGTCGCTACACCAGCTCCATCTCCACTCCCCACCCCTCTCTTCCTCCCAGAGGAATATCGTTTCAACATGCGAATCCCTCTACAGTGCACCTCGAAAGTTCCAACTCTCCCAAACTATTTATTTCCGCATAAAATGATTTAACAACAAATAACTAGTAACTGAACGGAGTAACAAATCAATGAAATACATGGCAGGTAAAATACGCGATAAACAATGTCAAGACACAAAAAGTCAAATATCCTAAAATCTTCATCAAGCAACTAGTTTCAGGAAAAATTCACGACAAAAATGTCCGGACAAAATGTCCAGACAAAAATAACACTGTGCTTTGGTTCTTATCAACGACTATCAAATAGACGTATCATTGATATTACTGGCCCTTCTCCTCTTTCAACTCGACTTCTTACACATTTTCGGTTTCTATCGATGACCATGTTTACAACCCCCATAACGACAGTACTGCGAGTTCATTACAAAGCAACCCCTCACCTCCCACCCCTCCCGCGCTCGACCAACAATGTTCTCGGTTCGAACTTTTCTCATAGCATAACCTTCATCTCAAGTCTAGAACGCTGCCTCGCACAGTCGACGCCGAGAGATGGCATTTGCATTTTCGCTACTTCCCTTTGTCGTGCTAAGCCAAGTAATACCAGCTAAAGTTAGTGAAACTACTGGTAAACTCTTATAAAGCACGACAAGTAGCGAAAGTGCAATATGCCCCCCCCCAAGCCAAACTGCCGAGCTTTTCCAATACAGCAGTTTTGTACCTCACGCAATAGCGATTATCGCCAAACATGTCAAGACGCGGAATGATCGACACGATATTTGTAATATTGCCTCCACCCTCCCCATCGCCCCACATCAACCGTTCCAAAATAGTCTCCTACTGTAGAATGTTCCCCCTGACTCATTTTTCCAAGCTAAGCCCTCACCTGTTAACTCGCACCCCTTCCCTTCCCACTAGCACACCCCCTCTCAAGTATCACCAAAACCGCATCAATTCATCTTCAATGTAGACCGGGAAACCTAGAAGAGCCAGTAACCTACAAAAAGAAAAAAAGTGCATAACAAAAAGGCACACATTAATGACAGCAAAATATAACCGGGAGCAATTTCACAGACATCTTCACCAGGATTCAAATCTTTGCCGTTTGATTGGAAGCGTTTCGTGGAATGGTTCTTCTGCATTTTTTCAAGTGGAGAGTCCTGATGAATTCGTCCACTATGAGATGTATTTAAACCATAAAAGAATCACCAACAGCTTTTTGAGAAGAAAAACAATTCACAGGATTTCAGATAACGGGATGGTTCTCGCTCTTATCCCCTTAGCACCGACAAGGTTTCATTCAATGCTTGTAGCCATGCATGAAGGAGTTCGTTGGAATCAGCAGACAGCAGTACACTGAAAAAGAAAGCGAACATGGAAAGAATAGGATTTTTCAGTGATTTTTCGGTTACAGTCTTGTTCGTTGCAAGGACTGAATTTGGTACGGCGCCAGTCTGTTCTTCACCAGTTGTGGTCGCCTGCCATTTTCCACCAGCTCCCAGCGAACGAGACTGTAAAGGCAGTTGAGGGACGCATTAGCGCGACGAAATCACTGCTTCCTCCCTCAGGGTCACAGCTTCGAATGAGAGCGTACGAGCAGAGTCCAAGCGCGGTCGGGTATCAGAGCGCTGATAAGCGGAGTCACTAGCGCCAACGCGTGGCCCACTCAACTACAGGACCGTTCAGATCAATGCCTCACAGATCAAGTTCTAGTCTTCTTCACTGAGAACGATGGTGCGTGTCAAGGGGAGATGGCGGGTCTGGTCGCACCAGCCTGTTTTTATTTCCTTTTTCTCTTTCGGCAAGCGACAAGACTGTACCACAACGTCCGTATCAGTCGTTTTCCACCAGTTGTTGTCACTTACTCACTTCAACAACTGGTACACGGAGTGGCGTTGCGCCTAACCTAGCCTCTTGACACGCCCCTTCGTCCGCAGCGAAAAAGACTGTACAAAACATTTCGTGGAAGCCAAACGTACCGCTTCTTTTCCATCATTGAAGGTGTCGTGGAGACCAACATATCAATACTGAACGAATTCTCACGTGGGCACTGCTCTGGATTACATGCCACAACCTCGTCATTGGTGCATTTGCTCAAATCCATAAATGCTACCGGACGCTGTAAACGGTATTAGATTCAAATAGATCACCCTTCTTCGGAAATTCTTCGATAAAAGCCATCAAATAGAAATAGAAAAATGACTATTCAGAAGGCGGCAAAGCGCATAGAAAAAAGAGGAGGCAAAAAAACTTCGTCCATCGGGTGTATAGAAGAAAACTTTATTTCTTGAAATAGACGTAAATGAAAAAGCAGCCAACCTTATCTTGCGATTCGTCGTCAGGATAGCGCCAGAAGTAGACCATACCACGTCTCAGTACCGCCCAGTAGCGCTCCCATGATGCCATACCGCTCACCGTTTGATACATTGTCTAGTAAGGTAAAAGTTACTTGAAAAAATCAAGCTGGAAGTAGAATGGAACGCTGATGACGTTGCTACCCACGCCGTCGCTAATCCCGGAAAAACTTTTAACTCACCAAAAATCCTCTATTGTCAACCTCGATGGCTGGAGGAAGTGTGGTGCAGCGTGCGTACACTTCAATTATGCCTTCCAGTGGATATTCCGCTTCATCCAGATAGAACTTATTGGCACCAACTGTATCTCTGTTGAGGATTATGTAGCCACAGCGGAAAAACTCGGACGCATGAGGATCGTTACGGTATGGACGATGTGTCACTGAATTAGAAGAATATTTGCAGTTGGTATCGTGACAAACAGACGGGGCGGTGTCAGGACGCGTGAAATAAGGCCACCTTCCTACCGGCAATGCGCCTTTAGATAGAAAGCAACCGATGACCTCACGACAGCCCCGTCGAATTGTTACGATACCAGCTATGAGTATTATTACGATATCTTAACTAGTAAGGAGCAAAGAAGAATCAGAACCTAAACTTGAAAATTGCTGATGAGCGAGCAGAAACAGAAAGTGGATTGTTTGAAGGTCCTCAAATAAGAGAAATCTATTAGATCTAGATCTGATTTCACTAGAACCGAACCTGAAGTTTCCTCTAGAGTGAAAATGACAGAGCGCTGCAAAGGCGACGTGCAATAATTTAGGCGAGAGCATCAGCAAATACTCGATCTGAGACGTCTAGCTCTCGCTCTTAATGATGGTCCTCGCACTCAAGCAACTCGAGAACGGCTACCTTGCTCAAGTAGTCTTCTCCTCAGTCTCTAGGGCTGTCCCATTTCGGAGCTTCACAGGAAGGGAGAAAGGAGCTGCGGCCTTCATGAGTGGCAGTTCTGACACCTTCCTAGTTACCCTGCGACTAAAACTCGAACGCTATTTACTGTCATGAGTTCACTTTTTACACCGGTTTTTCAACTTTTTTTTCACTGGCAGATGGTATTAGCACTGGATGACGCGAGTAAACGAATAGTGAGACAGAGGCGTCAGGATATCGCTTTGCTGGCATACTAGGTACAGAAATGGGCGCTAACATAGCTGAGGGACAAGGCACGCAGCGGATCTGCGGTCTTCCAAGAGTGAGCCTGGAAAAGGAGCTGTCACCATTTCGGTGAGAGGAGCAGACGAACAACTTGACTTGCTCCACCCCATGTCCCCTCCATGGAGCTACGTTAGCACCACGAAGGACGTTTGCAACTTGTAGGAGACAGATTCATGAGATAGTACAATAGAAAGGAAGGGAACGGTTGTAGTCAAGTTAATCGAGTAAGAACCTACAAGCCGGATTGAGTAGATTGCGACATTTGTTTGCAATGTTCGTGGCACATGACTGTTCCATTTGCTTGGCGGTGGGCAACTTCTGAATCTAGGAGCTCATCACGGTGCAATCGACATTTCAAATAGTATACGAACCATTGCATAAACCTCCACGACAACATTGAAATCCACTGGGAGGTTTGAAAACTGAACATGTTCAGCAAACGTCAACTGGCGAATGCGAACTGGCTGATGTGCTAGTAAGGAAATCGGACCAGTCGCTTCCACTTCTGCGCCACACTTGAGAAGAATCAGAAGCGCATAAGATGCATCTGAAACTTGCCAATTAGTCAACGTTTGCAACTTAAAGAGCCAGATAATTTTGAGACTTGCGCGCCCTCTCAAGTGAATGGGTAAAGAAACGAACCTTGATCATACTGCCGCTGACAGAAACTTCGATTCAGATGCACTGTGATATTCGAGATTGTCATCGTACCCCGTAGATCTCGGCTGACAGGAGGAGGCGGATTGCGTACGGCTGCGAGAGCCGAGATTCGATTAACCTCACATCGTAAAAGTTCCAGACGCTCACGTGCCAGCAGGAGAGTACGCTGTGCCGACAGCTGAACAACAGTAGTCGTGACAATCGGCCGTGTCTGACCATTTTATGATCTACGGACTACTGGACCTCACTCACTTTGATCGGTTGTGTGAAACCGATTAAAGTGATTGAGTTCAAGTACTTTAATCGGTGTGTGAAACCAGAATTTTTGCTGGGGGTTCTTCCGCGAAAGGCCAGAGAGCAGAAAAACAAAGGACTGTGGCTGCCGAGGCATCAAAATGTGTAAGACAGATTTCTTCAGCCAGGGCATGAGCATTTTCTAGAGGAAGGAGAATCTGTTATGGATGAGCCACCAATCATGCGATAAAACTAAACCAGAATGTGAACATTCACAGAACACCGTGCAGACGTGAGAGCGCAGAGAAACAGAAATTAGACACCATTAAAAGTTCGAGCTGTCCATGGACCCTTTAATCGCGTCGATCATCTTTTTTTCCCTCCACTCTCTCGTCTGCATGGAGTTTTGTAACCACTGCGACCGTTCACATTCCAACTTTTTACGCATGATGAGTAACTCCTCCACCCCAGACTCCCTTCCCCCTAAACAAAGCTCATCCACCTCACGTAATGTTTTTTTTTGCAAATTTCGATGCTTTGACAGCAGCTGTCCTCTAGCCTGCGTGGTATTCGCGACAGGACCATGCACAAAAGTTCAAGTAGTTATGTAACCCCTTTCGAGAGCTTTACTACGAAACACAGCTACTTCTGTAAACACGTTACGGCCTACCTCTTGCATTGATTTCTGCTTCTTTCGCGCCAATGCCAGCACTTTGAGCGTCATTTCTATTTGTTCTTCTTGGACACGGATTTGATGGTTCAATTTCTACAAAAAAATTTACATGATATGATAACAACAAGATTCTAACAATTCCAACACCCTGCGCAAGGTGCCTACTATGTTGACTCTTGCACACAATAGACCTCATTGGAAGGACTAGCCCAGAGCCCAGATAGCCACGCCCTTTTTGTCTCTAGCACAACCTACTTTTTTACACACGAAATGAGTGAAGAAAAGCCCCCCCCCCCCCCGAACGAAAAAAAAATCGTACAGCGATCTGTCGTTTGTATTCCTCGTGAGCATCGTGAAGCTGGCTGGCAGTTGTAATGGTGCTTACGAAGGAATCATCAAGGTTTGGTACATCAGGTTGTTCTAAACAATACAATAAAGGGACCACGTAAAAAGGTGTAATACTTATTCGGGCAAACTTACTTTGAGAAAATCCCGTACCCAAGGGAGAATTAACAGGTGTCGATGTCGCAAGTGCTGATGGTTGCGTATTAGGACGAGAATAACGACTTATGGTGCTCACCTGGAATGACTCAGCATAACTTTTCTGGGTAACATTTCTAAGAGCAATTGACACAACATCAAAAATCAAGTGAGGACAACAAACTTTTTCCCCAATGGTTCCTTCTCTTGACTTGTATGTACTCACACCAATGCCAGGGGTTGGTGCGGTCAACGGGGAGAACCTCGGAGGTGCATCCGACGTAACTCGACCCATGCGCTGTACGCGCTGCATATCGCGGTAGCCGCTAATCTAAAAATACAGCTTTAAGAAAGTGTTAAGGGAAAATGAAAAGGTACACTGCGAATGTTTTGCAAAAATAAATCAATGCTTCAAAAGACTTACTGAATACTTGAGCGGTTGATCCGATCGACCTCTTTTTGTGGCATCCAGGTTACTGTGGGCAAGCGGAGGCTGTGGAGGAACAGGTGGCAGTTCAGTGAGGTGTCCACCCACTTCGCCTCTGACGATTCCATAGTCGCCATGTTTTCACTACACCAGTTGTACTTTCTGTTTCCGTCTCACGACCCAAAGTGCTCAGTCCATCGTGTTCCTGAATGAAGTTTTTTATCAATGTTTCACATTCTAGCCTAGGCACTATTAACCCTTAACCGCCACCCACGAAATCCAGGCCGAATTTTCATCATTTTTTGCCCGGGAATAGATTTGGTAGCATTTCATACCCCGAGGACCTGAGCCAATGAAGAGAGAGTAACTCCTGGGTAAAGAAACTTTTGCGTCAGTGGCGCTGGCGCCGAAACACCTCGAATAATCCGATTGAAAAGTTTTCCTGAGGTGTAGGAGCCCTTGGACATGAGTACCATCTTGACGCCAAAACGCCTTGTACACGCGCTATAGGCGTCGGCGCCAAAACTGGCCTGCGGAAAATGGGTCTTTGCTTCGAGCGGATGTGCTAAACGGAAGCAGCCAAGGTTTTCGGCAGATCTATTTCAGAAGTAAAAGTTCAAAAAAAAATTCACGGAGAAGGTTGCTCAACAATGTGCCCTGAATTTAACAGAGTGGGACAGTAGAGGGTAAAAAAAAACCGCTTCAGTCGTTCACCTGTCGTAAGACACTAACACTTTCACGTTTCAAGAGAGAACGGGAAGGTGGGGGAGCTACTTTGTTTACAAACACAGGTTATAACTTTACTGGTTTCCTGGAGAAGTTAAAAGCACTGTCTCTCAAGAGCAGTTTGGCTTCATAGACTTCTAATCATTTTTGTCACGATGGAGTTCTCCACCAGCCGGCCTGGCAACCTGGGCCTGACGCTGGTAACCATTTTTGCACACTTTCTGCAAGGCATAAGTTGTGCCTCGGAAAGGATCGAACTCGTGGCTCCTAGTGCAGACAAGAGGAAACAGTCTTAACCACTTGGGTATGCCTGCCTCTGGCACTTACGCTATTCAGTAATGACGATAATCTGTTCATAGTCATAAGGGCAACAGAGCTAAACGATACACAGCGCCGACATAAGACAACAAGAACATTAAACTTCTCGCAACAACTACAACTACAATGCAACTAACTTACATCCACAAATTCGAACATTCTGTCGATTTCACCAGTTACTTTTCTCAGCATCAGCATTTTCCAGTCGTCTTTCACTTGTCACTGAGCACACCGATTCCCGACGAAATGACCCCTAAATACTTGGTATGCTCAAAAGTTCAAATACTTCTACATCTAGTCTTTCGTACCTGCTGTCCCACAGGCTGATGATGATACGGATTAGCACTAACACGTTGCACTTTTGCATAGACCGGTTCGGGTTTAGAGTCGGCATGAACCTGAATTACCAATAAATAATGGGTCAAGGTCAACGAGATAGTTGAGAAATAAAAACATGCTTTAAAAATCCTGCGAAGAATGAAGTGTACTATGATTAATTGGCACTTCAGTGAACACATTCTGCGTATAACGAGTAGAAACTGATGGGAAGAGATAAATTATATTGAGTTATAAACATACGCTCGTAGGGTACGGTTGTTGATCGGTTTGGCCGCGCCTATACTGCACGTAGTAGCCATGTTGACCACTGTTTGGATGGATAACAGATAGCCTGTAAACATAGAACGGGTCAGGATTCGGGTGTTCAATGAATCAGCGCTATCTAATGCAAAAAGCTCCTAAGTCCAGAGCTCCAGAGCACTCGAACTCTGTTACTAAGTAGGGCGCTGTTTGTCGACGGGGGGGGCATTTTGTACTACCATTGCTTCCCTAGTTCCGGTTCACAAATCTCACCCTGGTAAAACTTGTGAACCCTTGTGAAGCTGGTGCAGGATCGTCTAGCCACCATCCTAAAACGTGTCAACTCGAGAAAAGGCTACCTAGATGGGTCGGCACATCTATGAAAAGCAGAATGCCCCCTACGACAAACTGCGCCCTAAATAGAAGTACCTTTGAGGTGGTGGTCCAGCTTTCATGACTACTGGGGGCTCCGCATACCGATGCTCCGCTGGCTCGCGGGTGCAACATTCTCAACAGGCTGTTTGTTGCATGGTTCACTTGTCGGCGGTATTTTATTGTCATAATTGCCAGAGGAGGCGCTAAAACCGCAATATGGATTCTTAGGTAGAGGATAATTACGTAGAGGACAAAAGTGAATATACGAACCACTCTAAACGTCTAGCATCATACATAGCAGGACTTTCCGGTGAATGTATTGGAGGTAAACGACCGAATGCGTTCGCAAGATCTGAACTTCATGGATGAATTGGGCTTAGAATTTAGGAGCGCGTTTATACTTTGCGGCAGCATTCGTCAGATTTTTCAGCGGTAATCGATACCTATACTTTCTTAGTCGCCCAAGACGTTCGAAACGCTCGCAGACGCTCGAAAGACCGACGAAAAGTATAAACGTACTCTCAGGCAGCGGATACCGTGGCAACTGACTGACCTGTCACAGGACAACCTAAAGGAGTTGAAGTCCTTTGTAGATCAACTCGGCTATCAGTGGACGCGCCATCATGGTCGCCTCTTGCTCTTAATTGCAATGAGAAGATGTATGGGCCACTTCAGCTGCTCTTTTTCTAATGCATTACTTACTCGTTATCATGTTGTTGAGGATGAGGCCACTCTATGCCGTAACGCGATGCTACACCCACTTCCACTGGCTCACTACAGCTGTTTCCTTGAGAAGATGGAAAGTGTGGCTGATTAGATGCCGACGTGTAATCGTCAGTGACACCACCAAGCGTTGACGAGTAAGGAATCTTGGCATATTTCACGACAGGTTCTAAAAAAGCTATGTAACAAGTACAATAATAGGGCAAAGAGCGCGGTTGCTGGAGGCGGGGGTTGCCAGCATCATTGGTTGAAGGGCCTCGAGGGAGGTCACCCTCGCTCCGTCCTTCCACCAATAACGTTGGCGACATCCGCTCGCCCCAGCAATCGTGCCCACTACCTTTAAATAGGGGAACTAAAACAATGAAGACAGCTCTTCTACCTCGACTATTTACAACTTCAGGCCGAGATTCCTCTACCGGGGGTTGCTCAACCGCGCGAGGCGGAGAATTTTGATGCCTTGGCAGGGAGTGTGTTCGGAAATACTTTGTGCGATGCTTCGGAGGTGGAAGCGACTTTCCTCTGAGCACTTCCGCGTCTCGCTGAGCCTCTCGTGACAAACCATCAAAGAGCCGTGCTAGGTCACGTATTCTTCCTCGTGGAACAT